GGAACTTCAGTTAGAGATAAGTATAATTATTGACAGTTTTTAATAAGCGATTTTGGCATAATATACCGGACGCCTACTTTATACAATATATATATACAATATGGGACGTTTGTACGTTTTTAAATCCGATATCATAGCTCGAGGTACACATAATACATTTTACGGTAACCGTATATCGTCGATTTAGCGGGTATATAAATAATGTAAACCTAACCATATTATAGACTATAATATGTATAATATGTAAGTGTACATTCAACATTGTGACCTGCACGGTACGTATGTTACACATATTTTATACACCTTCGTCGACGTAGTATAGTTCCGTTTTATGTGTATATACTATATAGCACACGTTGTCGCTCTCGATGACCTAATTTTTAAGGATTTTTTAAATAATAAAAAAATTATACATCGTAATATAATATAAAATACTCGTTCAAATCACCTTCCCGTCGACTCCGTCGGTCGTAAATCGTAATACGTAGGTGCGTGGTGTGTCATTCGTGGAGAGAACACAATAAATATGGTGTTATTATCGTACACGATACCCATTACACGAGTACCTACACAACACACGTGATGAGTGGCTAAATATATTATTGTCATTAATACCATATTATTAGTACATTGCAGCTAACACAATATTTTTAAGGTATCTTATCAAAAACAACTAATATTGGAAGGGGGGGGGGTCGAGTGCGCATATTATTTACACTGCTGCATTAATATAAACAAATAAAAAATATCCATATTATACGTAGATATTTCGCCATATCGGTGTGTACAGCATACCCACAAGTCACAACTCACCCCTATTTTAATATTTTATAGGTAATATTGTGTATTGTCAAGTTGTCTTTGCTATCCTGTATCGCGTAGTCAGTCACGTAACTGGTAACTACTATAAGTAGTATATAACTACAGTACACTACACATAATTATATAATATACATTATTATAATACTAATATGTACACAGACTGTACAGTACTACAGTGTACACTGAATAAAGTCTGTAGTGTATTGTGTATACCTACGCCAATTATGGATTCAATGATACCAAAATTGATTGAAAAATCGAAAATACTTTTGCCTTCAGTATTGGGCACGGATACAAAATTAACTCATTGACATTTGATGATCTTAGTAGGTACCTTTAGATTAAAATACTGTCATATTTCACAAGTGCGTTAGTTTAATGAAAAAATAAGTGAAACTAGGATTTTTGTTTCTATACTTTTATTTATAATTTTTAAATTTTAATAAAATAAAAACAATTTGAAACTATCCAAGAAAGTAACAATTACAATATGCAGTAATGTTATTAACAAATGGTAACACTATTGCTGCAAAAAAACAACGTAAAACGGTTGACAAATTTAGATCAACAAACCATTGCGAACCACGTTAATTTAGTGAAACTAATGACAATGCGTATAGTAAGCTTTCTTGTATTACCAAGATATTGTATGATCTTATAGAAACATGGCCAAGTCGAAATGAACCGCCGAATGATTGTTCCGCCACAAATCAACCATCTAGTACAGCTGCAGTTGCAAACCCTCACAATGGAATGATATAGTGTGTGTTTCAAAGTCGTCGTGTAACAATAAATCGGTTACAACCGTATGTGAGAAATAGTCACAAAAAAAGAGTAATTCCTGTAGCGAATACGGCCGCAATGCCTGTTAAAAGTCTTCCTAAATCATCAAATAATTGTTTGGCCACGATTTAACCTAGTAACTAGATGCCTAGTTATATTTATATAACTCTTCTCTTTGGAGTATGCTGCTCAAAAGTCATCATGTACAACAAGCTACCGGTTAAAAACTATTTTCACAATCCGTCACAAGAACTCATATTTCCTATGAATATCACCTGTGATATGCCTGTTAAATGTCTACCAGAAACTATTGAGTTCAACAACCACACAAATACACAATTGAAGACACGACGTCCAGTGGATATATATTTCTATAGTAAGCAAAATCAAATTACCTCAATAGACTGCAATAAGATATATTGTGAGATGAAATCAATCGATTTATACACAGGGATGGGGAATAAATTCTCAAATCACTCTAAATCTAAACTACCCGTAGGTACGTACCTGTTAAAACAACGTTACTAAATCGCAAATACTTCGAATAAACAAAAACTGATAATATATTATGTTATAATCAAATAAAAGACAAACAAAATATAAAAATTTAGTTAGTTAACCAGTTATAAAAACAAAAATATGAGTGAACTGTAAATTTAATTAGATTATAATATTATTATTGGAAAAAAATAAAAAAAATATTTATTTCCAATATAATGTAGCTAAAACCTAAATTTACTCTTTGTTTATATTTTTTTTTTTAGAATTGTTTAACTTATTATGTTTACTATTCGGTTTGACTTTAATGTCATAACATCCATTTCCCGGTTTTTGCTTGTTCGACGGTTTTGGTTTAGTGACGCTTTTAATCGTTTTAACAGGTACGGGCTTGGCGGGCTCTTCAGTACTGATGTTTTTATTTGTTTCGTCGTCTTTAATAACATTACAACTATTAGCAAGAGTAAAGCAGTCCTCTTTTTGATTTGTATCCTTCACCTCTGCGCATAAATCGATCGATTGCAACACACTACATGATATTTCGTTGTTGCACTCTGCTATTGGTGTAATTATTACATTTTGTTTACTTGGAATATCCACTGGACATTGAGTTATAGATTGTGTTGAATTGTGTTGAACTTTAGTTTCGGATAGACATTTAACAGGCTTCTCACTGCAGCAGATATCCACCGGAATGACTGATTTTTGTGATGGTTCCTCGCAATCGTTTTTAACCGGTTCTATATTATGCGTCAACTTCGAACAGCTCACTTCACAGGAATCAACTGTAGAATACATAATATAACCAATGGTTATACCATTTTGAATCACGGCCAAGCAATTATTCGGTGATTTAGTTTCTGTAAGACTTTTAACAGGCATTGCAAGGGAATTCATTGCTGCAGAAATGACGCTTATTTGGGACTGTATATCGCGTGTGTTTCTAACCGGTTCTTTGCTATACGACGACTTTGAAGCACATCTTATTCCACTGTGAGGGTTTGCAATTTCGGGTTTATTAGCTGATTGATTTTTGGCCGAACAATCATTTGGTGCACACTCATTCCGATTTGGGCATGCGTCTATAAGACGATCCAACCTCTTGATAATACAAGAAAGTTTACCATGTATTGTATCATCAGTTCCACTTGGTTTACGTCGCTCGCAATGGTTTGATGAACTAACTTTGTCAACAGTTTTACATTGTTTTTTGCTGGAGTTGGGTTTATTGTTTTTACTGGCATTTGTTACTTTTTCGGATTCACAACAAAATTGATACTGCATCGATTCTAGACTTTCCGTTGATTTTTCACTGCAACATTCAATCTTGCAGCATTCACATTCTTCTTGGATTTTGTGACATATTATATTAGTGTTCGTATCTGATTGCTTTTCAGTTACAGATTTTGATGTCAACATGTCATTCTTACGATGACGAATTAACATTGCATTTTTGAAGAATTCGAATATACCAATTGTATATTTTATAAGTGAATATACAAATAAAAAAAAATATACATTGTAATTCATCTCTTTGCCGATAATTTGTGTTAACTGTGTAATTTCTTCTAAATTTTGTGAAGGTTTAAAATTATCACTACTCACTAATTAAAAAATAATTTAAATTACGGTTGTATATATTATATTAACTTTGTATAATTTGTTGAGTTATATTTCCATGACAATGGTTACATAGAAACCACTTTGTTGATCTCGGTGTTTAAGTGGATTGTATAGGTTTTTTTGTATGTTATATATTAATCTGTAATCATGCGCTGGTTTTAAAATTATCCACAATTATATTTTATATTTAAGTTACCACTTTAATATAATACTTTGCTACTAATCAACTGCTCGATACCTATTTAACGGGTGTTGATACGGAACAGAAACTTGACGCTTTATCTTTAATCAGTGAACCAATCATTTTATGAAGAATAATAAGTTTTGAAATCTAGTTTCGTTGTGTCCCCCTTGAAAATTACCCCATAGGCGACCAGTGTCCATTCAGGCCCATGCAGATATATTTTGGGGCATTTTTCAGGGCAGAATCATGAAAGGGGCCTCTTTTTATTTAAATTTTAGTTTAGGATATTAAATCTAGGTACATACTTTTCACAAAGATGTGTTGATACTAGCTCTTATAGTCTATACTCTATAAATTAAAGTTTCTACACTTACCTAAGGTGGCTTATTTATTTTTTTTGCATGCACAAATGGGACCCCAAGGGACAGTTTTGACCTAGAGAGTCCCGGCCTCTGAAAGGGCCTGATGATTCCATGTACTAGTTTAAAATATTGGGAGTCAATTTTAAGTAGATAGAGATTATAATACATTATAGTGAACATTTTTAATAGATTAACTTTTTAAAGGCCTAAACTAGAATTTATTACAGTAAATTATCTACCTAGGTAATAAAATCTATCAAATATCCAGGCATACTTATTAGCAAAAGTACTATGTCTAATTCTTTTTTTTATACCTACACCAAACTTTATTTTGGCAAATCCAAAACATAAACTGTATGTTCTACTATGTAGGGTTGAATAATTTATCTTCGTGGCATTCAACAGTAGATTAAGATTTCCAAAATGTTGATATTTTTGGTTTTAAAAAAACTTATAAACCGGCATCGGTTTAAAATCTTAAATCTAGTGTTTTTGCACATCCAAAATATACAGTGTTAAAATATATCGATTAGAACCGAATTTTTATTTTTTATTTTCCATCTTAACTCATCCCTCTTCATACAATAATAAACTTATAACTTTTATTATGATGCCTTGAAAAATCGTGATTAACCATAACATAATACTTTTGTTGGTAAAATATAGTTTTGTTTTTCCCAATCACGTATACACTGTTGCTTCAAGTGATGATAACGATTGTGATGATAACTTACAATGTGATATTGATATCTATATACAACTTCAAGTTGCAGTTAGGTTTAGGTTCAACAATAACTTTAAAATATTTGTATTTATTTAGTAGGTATTTGCCATTTAGTACGTATTACGTACATAGGTAGTAGGTACCTACTAAATGCTAATACCTATTATATAGTATGATTTCTGGTTTTGAATTTGAATTTATTTGTAATTGAATTTCATTAAGCTTTTGAACGTATTATCTATTTTCTCTTGTTAATCATTACCAAATACCATATCACATAGTAATAGTAGTATAGTTCGTGTTACTATTAGTGAACTACCAAAATGGAGGTGTAAGTATAAAATTGCAAAATAATTATGTTTCCGCATAATATTGCCTTTTGTTTCTTACTGATACGTTATTTTATTTTTTCTACAGTAAAAATCCACAAGTAGCCGTACTCTGTAACAACGAGGTAAAGTTATTTGTACAATTATCACCTACTTACTACTTACTATTAATATGACGGTTAATCACTGAGTTTTCTAAGATTTAACATGAAATTTAAAAAATGTTTATTGTGATAAAATATCTTATATTTTTATGTGTGTACAGCGCTCCTAATTATATTGAATTTCCATTAAATTTGACTAGTTAGATATAATTTAAATTAAAAGTGTTTCCACTCTAAGATTTGGTGTTGTTTTTATGTTGCAATTATAAAATACACAATCAACCAATCATTTGGTATTTTTGAGTGAAAACAATAGTAGTACTCAGTTGTCTTAGTTTGTTGAGGTTGATGTCAATATTTTGAATAAAAACAACTTGTACTTTATGTCTTTATCAACTAATATATTTTGTTTAAATACTTAACATGGACAAAATTCATATTCAATATGGATAATATTGGACCTTTTATGTTTCCCTGATTTGGTACAACAACTTATATAAAATAACTATATTACCTGTTTTCCAAGAAGCAGTTCTAATTTCAATATTTGATTATTCTGATTGTTTTCACATTGTTTTATAACATTACAAAAATATTGAAAATATACTTTGGATTGATTAAGGACCAAGGTTTATAATTAAATTAAATGGTCTCATTATTTTTTAATTACATCAACCTGAAATTAAGAAAGACCTTGTTTTCTAAATGTTTTGCATGTGCCATTTATAGCAAATAAATAGTAGGTACAATGATACATTTATAAGTTTATTCACCAATTATAGTTTCTACTTTGTTAAATCTGTGATTCTCTAACTCTAACTATATTGTGCGTAATTTTCACAATATTAACAATCTTCGGTTTGGCGCCCAATTAATCTTTATTGAGTCAATATTTATATTTTTTAATAAAAAAACAAGATTGTAATATAGCTAAGAAAACTGAAAAGTGTTATAGGCTCAGTGCAGGATAAATCTCCGTTGAAAATGGTGCATTGTGCTGTGCACCGTCACTTTGAAATGATAAGGGCCCTGATGTAGATATTAAAGAATCATATATTCTTATTCTTAAATGACCTAAACATTAAAGCATAAGGACTTACTGTGTGATGATTGAATAACATATTATAACTATCATATTATATGGATTATGTTGAACAGCTATAGATTTATTTTTAATTTTGTATAATATTGTAATAATAGATTTGTTTTCAACAAAAATAAGTATGTACCTTAATGGACTTATTTTAAGAGTAAAATATTAAAATGTGAAATAATTTTTCTTGCATCTTAGCTTAAAAATATAATTATTACTATTTCAGGTTTATGAATTACTAAAAAAAACTCAAGAAAATACAAAACTCATTGGAGGTATGAACCATTCAACAATTTTATATGAGGTGAGTCCAATTATTTAATTCTTTGATTTACTACCATATTTTGAATTTGTTGGAGATGTTAACAAATATTTGTTTTTTTTTGCAGGTTAACAAATATTTAGAGCAAAGAGCATGTGCAGAACAAAATGCAAATAAAATAAGAGAATTCCTAATCGAATTAAAACATATGCCAATCAGTCTGACAAAAAAGGAAAAACTGATGTTAGTTAACGATCCACCAGACTCAGTTTTACGATTATCCTTGGTATTTATTTAAATCATTAATTGATAACTAAATAAAATTGTTTTAATTCATAGTGATTACACACATTTTCTTGTTATCTATACTAGTATATAGGCTCAATTGTCATTTATTATTAAGGTTTTTTATTTACAAAAAGAAGCGAAAAAAATTATTATTAAAGTTAGGTATTTTCTTGTATACAAATATTATATTTCATTAAATTTCGATTAAAATTGAACAAGCTTCATAATGACATTTTTTCTTTCTTGTTATTTTGTGTTAAATAATCAGTTTGTATTAAATTTATTTAGGTTCAAACTTACAAGGGCTTGTAAAGATGATGTATTTAACATTTTTGATTTTTAAAATCTAGAGAGTACCCTGGTGTCTTACTAAATGCTGATGGACACAACCATACAGCACTTTCAGTTCATTTTCAAAGTACCTATACTATCTAATATCTTAAAAATCTACTGTTAAAACATGTAACATAATAAAAAAGCAAGAATATATAATATATTGATAAATAAATGTATATTATATGTATTTTTGCTTTTATTTTTATCATCTATATCGTCTCAAAATCCAAATTCTATTCATAAAACTATTTTTTTAGGTTCGATTACTTTTATTATTATATTAATTTATTTTAATTTCCAGGGTATCAAAGATTTCTATGATAGACTCAGCGAACCAGAAACTGAAATGTTATTATATGCTACAAAAAAATTTTCTGGAGAGTTAGAAATTATTACTAAACAAGAACTAGTAGAAGAAGAAGAACAAGAAGTTAATTAATCTATGGTTTTTTAAAATAGCTAAAAAAATTCAAGACTGATATTGATAATACAATTTTACACAAGTATTTGTGCATCTTAAATTTATTATGTGACATTTTTTAAAGTTAAATTTGCTTTTGGAACATTATAGCTCTTGAGTATGCTTGTAAGACTAAAAAATAAAGCAGTTTCAAAATTATCTGATGATCGCTAGCATTAAAAATACCTTATGAATTGTATTATGAAGTTTGGCTTTTGAGAATATCTTATCAATTTCAATTTTTCAAACAAACATATATTCATCATTCAGATTATTTAAATTGCAGTTGCATAATATTTTCTTGATTTTTATGAATCTACATGCTCCAGATATTTTGTTGTTCAAAATCAAATTTATTTTTCTGTTCCATAGCCTGTTATATAACTGCTGTTATTCTAATAACTTGTATTGATCTATTTCTAAAATATCAAACATCATTTTGAAAGTTCTTCGTTAATACATCTTAACTAATAATAATAATGTGGTAACCTTCGAGCCCATTGAGTAAATGTAACTTAATTTCATAGATGGAGGTGTAATTATGTATGGATTATTTGCCCTATAATAATATATTATTTTGAGGAATGGTGATATTTCCGAATTCATATAATTGACATAAGGCTGGTTAGGTTAGGTTAGGTAAAAACATGTACTATTCTTTTGTATCTTCCAATGTTCTCAACTTCCATTATGAAATTTGGCATAATGTTACTAGCTACAGTTTTTCTTTAATGTGTAGATAATTAAGATTTATTAATGATATGGAGGAGATGCCTTACACAACTTTTTGCTTATTGAATACCTACAAAAAAGTGTTAGCCAAGGAAAAATAAATTTTATATGCTTAAAAAAACATTTTTGAAATAATTTATCATTTATACGCCATGTTATACTATAAAAAAAAGTATAAAGTTTTATAGAATACAAGTTAATATAGATTCATTTTGAGTAATGATATACATTATGTAATACAAATGTAAATTAGGTATACTGTGAAAAAATATCTAAGTATTTAATTTATATAAAAATAGATATTTATTTATACTGACAAACACTATTGTAAGCTTTATATATTATGTAATATGGATGACAATTAAGTTTTTATAAAATATATTATTACGTCACATTAAATTCATAATTAAATATACTTTCAATACTTATGATAAATATACTAATTTATTTTATCTGATATTTATTGTTAGTTTAGTAAAAATATTATTTTATTCTGCTGAAAAGGGAAAGTAAAAATTCAAATTATTTTACAATATTTATTATAAGACAAGATGGCACAAGACAGTTATTTACAGGAAAATATTCACGAGGGATAGTATTAAAAAGAAATATTATTTTATAGAAGAAAAATGCGGAACAAGATTTATATTGATGAATACACTATTATGTTTTTAATTATAGTAGTGGGAAATTAAAACACAGGACCGTACAAATCAGGATAGTTTTATCGGGTCATCGTAGACTGTTTAATAATATTAAGAGGTAAAATAAACAGGACGTTTTATGAATCAGGACAGTGTCTATTGAGGACCCCTATCATTGTTTCTGTGTCAACCCTGCATACCAGTATTTTGTTGCACTGATTTGTTCATCAATATGAGTAATATGGCAAATTTCTGCTCTACAGTTCAAGTTCAGCTAATAACCCAATTACTTTTTTGTTTTAAGACCACTGAATTGAATTATAGGATATTATCAAAATTATATGTAACAACTAACAATATGTTTACTGTTGTATAGTGTATTTATATTTTATACGTAGGTTTTTTTCTTACTTTATTTCAATTTTTAAGTGAATTATGAATATCGGTGTGCCTAATTGTTAATAATTTAAAATTATTTATGAATTGTGATTATAATTTTTAAAATAAAAGAAAGTATAACCAACAATGTTTTTACAAACATTTTTACAATTACACATATAAATAGTACTAATAGTAGTCTATTTAAATTAATTGCTGGAAGATTATAACAGAAAAAATATTCCTTATAAGTTAATGACCTCTTCTTCGACAAATAGACAAAGTAAAGGATCCAGATATTGTTTGCTTATTGGAGATCAAAATTTAAGACTGAAAATACTCGTTCACGCTTAACCAGTGTGTGAACGAAATGTACAATAAGAACGTAATAAATGCTATACAACACACAATATTTAATGTGATAAACCTGACAGTCGTTTATTCATAAATATTTTTTTTCAATATCCCACACACGACTCTGCGTGGTTCAATTAAACATTTTCCTGTTTGGATGTGGGCCCCCAGGCCCAAATACTGAAAAATAATTTTTGAATATCCTAGGTGTAGCGATATTAGATGTATCGTCTTAAGCACATAATCATATTTAGGGTTATAAAAAAAATTCTAAAATACTAAATTTATTAAAATAATATTGTGTAAATCAATCTACTTTTATAAGTAAAATCACAAATCAGACCTATTCTCAAGTTCAAAAATATAATACCGAACACACAATTTGGATTCAAAGAAAAACATTCTTCAATCCATCAGATCCACCAGATAGTCGACAAAATAGCCACATTTTTTGAGAACAAATAATCTAAGATCCATATTGACAATATTTCATAATGGTCCTCCAAGTGGAGAATCAAAATCAACTCAGATAAGTCTCACTCTTTCCACATCCCTTTCACTCTAAGACAAGGCGCTCCACCCGTAATCTACTTCCAGAACAATCAAATTCCAACCACAACTCAAACCAAATATTTAGGTGTAATATTAGACAAACGTTTAACTTGGGGTCCACATCTAAAAGCCAAAAGAAAGGTTTTTAACAGTAGACTTCGCCTATTACGCGCAAGTATGAAGTTCAAGCTCTCAATCTGCAACAAACTACTAATATATAAGTCAATGTTAAAAACTTAAAACCCATATGGGCCTACGGGATCCAAATATGGGGAAGTGCCAAGCCCTCCCAAATAAAAACCATTCAGGCCTTCCAATCAATCTCTATACTCCAAATAACATCCGCGACATGCTTTGTCTCTAATCTTTCACTACACAACGACATAAAAATCGAAACAGTCTCTACTAGAGCTAAGAATTATAACAAAACATTTCATACTAAATCAATTAATCACACAAATCCACTAGTCTCTAACTTTAAACTTAGTCAGTGAATCTCTCCCATATAACCCCCCTCGTCGACTCAAAAGAAACTGGTGTCGGGAACTCGGGACCTTTTATCTATTTATTATCTATGATGATCCATTCGTCGTGCTATAGATACTAGATATCTATAGCTGTTCATTAAAGATAAAATGGTGATTTGTCTTGATTCGTCATCATTCTTATCTACAAGTTGATAAGAAAATTCTGTAATTTTACTAATTAGTTCTGCAAATTGGTTCGGCGAATTTTAAATATTCCATATTTTAATACCGGTTTTTACTATTCAATTTTCATTGTACATCGGAATTCTAGAATTTAGATACAGTTAATGCATCTTAATAAAAATAATTACCAAAAACTAAATTTTCAAATTTATATTTAGACGCCTAGGTATTATATTTTGGTAATCAAACGAGTAATTTTAAAATTAAAGACCAGGTCTGGTAATTGTTGAAACGTATGTACATCAAGTGAAACATGTCAAAAGCAGTTGAAAAGAAAACACCGTGTCAAAATTCAATTTTGGATACATTAAAAAAAGCTACCACAAAAAATTCGGAATGGCCTGACAAAGTAAGTATAAATTAACAGTTTAGAATATTATCTTAATTTTTTTATTATTTTATACATAATGCTAATGTTCATTATAAAATGATTTATTAAGGATGAATTTCTTGATGTAATTTACTGGGCAAGGCAAATCCTCGGACTCATTGCTGGTCTATTATGGGGCCTTTTACCATTGAAAGGGCTATTTGGATTAGGATTGTAAGATTTATAATTAATACTTTTTCAATTAATTTGTATGTTATTGATAATTTACTTGTGTAGATTTTTAGTGCTCAATGCTGTTTCATTATACGCATATTTTACCAATTTCCAACAAGTTGATGAAGAAGAATTTGGTGGAGCTTGGGAGTTAACCAAAGAAGGATTTGTTACTTCATTAGCAGGATTTTTAGTATGAAAACTATTTTATAAATTAAAGCTAATTAAATTAGTAATCCTCCTCTCGACCATCATAGTACTCCATCAGCTCCAGAAATAGTAACTCAACTAGTAGAGAACTTTGGTCTTTGATATGGCTATATTGTCAGTGGATTTTTTTTCTGATAAATATCTTGCCATATTATACAACTAATTTTTTCCATCCCATATTTGACAGGAAAGATAAAGTTACATAATATAGGATATAATAATAAGTGCAAAAATAAAATGAATTCCTTAAATTTATATAAATTTCAATTGACTGATGTGTTCTCTATTATCTTAATATTCATAGACCAACTGTCTAACCCGATCAAATTCTCTCAAGATGTCTTAAGAGGTTATCATACTCGTGTGTTATACTATTATCTCTGTCTAACAAATGGACAATCTAGCAAATCTATGTTCAGAAGTTCCAATTTTCAGTTGTAACCTTTAATATTAGTGCAAAATGACCTATTATGATACTTAAAGGAAGAAACATTATCTGTGATCTCTGGCTAGTTATTTTAATATTTTTATTTTTAAGTGAGTCATGAGTATTTGTATGTAATATTTTATATAGTTACTACCAGAAGTTCATAACTTGTTTCAAAATTAAAATTTAGGTAAATTCACTGTAATATTTAATTTAACCACATACACTTTGAATGGCTTGTTGTGGAATGTTATGTGTTAGTAAACAAGATACAACACAAAATGTGGTTATGACGTCCTCTTAATATATATTTAACTAGATTTGGGTATGTTAGTTAATAGTTTTGAACAAATAAAATAACCCAATAAATCTTGACATAATCAACTATTGCTACACTATATCCAATTGGTTGGTTTATTAAATGATAAGTATAAATACACCAAGATATTAAAATATTATTGATGCACCTCGCATTACAGCGCACATTGCCTATTGGGATGTAGTATATTATAGGTGACCACCAATCTGCTGCCCAGTGGAGTTATCACAAATCGACAATTTATTATAAATATTATATAAATTAATTTAATATTAGTGCTAAAATATTTAAATAATTTTATGCAAGATCTATTATTATTTGTAGTTGGATCAAAATAAATAAAATGTCAGTCAATTTTCTGATTTTATATACTTTTAAATTATATTTTAAACAAAAAGCTAATAATTAAACTTAAATTAAAAATGTATTTCCGTACTATTTACAGTTATCCTTAATAAATTTCTCTTAATATGCTTGAAAACATATTAAGAATCAAGTGAATACCTAATTTCAATAATACAAATTGTAATAAATTTAAATTAAATTAATATTGTTTTGTTTTTATTTTAGGTGATGTGGATAATTGTGTATTCTGGAATGCATTTTGATTAAGTACAAAAACCATTCCACACTAAAAAGTTTTGTATAATTGTTTTTATTGCAATGAATAATTAAATTATAACATTCTGTACAAAATTTGTTTTCTACCTAAATATTTTTGTATTATAATAAATAAACAAAGAGTATTAGTCCTTAACATTTTTATTTCCTTTGGGCCTAAGTTTTCTTTCCAATACATGTTTTAGGTTTTTCTCTTTTTCTCCAGCTTTCATCGCATACCGCTCTTTTGCAATGTCTAAACTTTCACTAAGTTCAACAATTTTTTTCTAAAAATGATTTAAAATGTATTATTTTTATTATTATTAATATTTATAATACTGTCAATATAACTTACAGCATATTCTCTTTGAAGCAAAAGTTTTCGTTTTTGTTTCATCCCAAATGGGGTGGGACGACCATCCAAAAAAATGTAATCAGCACCATCGGTAAGAACACCTCTATCCATTGGGTTAAGTGGCAGTTTTTTTCTGAAAATACAAATTTAAATTTTGTTTGAATACCAAATAAACTATATAATACAAACAAATTTAGTTTACAATGAGATGCAATGGTAATTCTATAGTACAAGGAAACTACGCTTTGATAAACTTTAATTTCCAAGCGAATAGTCTAGCTGGTTTAAAAAGGATACTGCTGTTTTTTATTTATTTAAACTTCGTACAAAAATTTAAGGAACAAACCCAGTTTAGTTTCTCCTCGCCATTTTATATTTTTATTATTGGACAAACCTAAATAGTTCAGTTAAGAACGATAATGCAATCAGAATTTTCTAAAAAATAATTAGAAATAATTACAGAGTAAACTCAATATCAATTTTATAATTATAAATTTATTAAAACATAATAATACATACTTAAGACTTAAGTTAAAAATGTACAACAACTCAATGTTGTCTTCATGTCATTATTTTGTGTTATGAGTAATACTGATAGATCATACAAACACCCAGCTTGTTTAAAAAACTAAGGAAACCGCTCTAACTTTTTTATACGACATCGCTTTAAAAACATAGACTTTGCCAAATACTCGCCATAAAACCTTTTTTTGCAGCAATACTACAAAAGTATCTTTATGATAATAAAATAAACTGTATTAAGTTGTTTTGCAATTACCTTAAGGTAGATAATATATTGTAACCTTGCCCGTTGAAGTAACATAACTATATTAAAATGGTGCCTTTTGCCTACCAGTTTTAATCGCCAAACTTGAGGTCTTCCGAGCGGCATTAATGTAGTATTTCACACAAATGTATAAAAGTAAAGTCACAAATTTGGAAGGCTATAACTTCAAAAGTAAGTCCGAAAGACAAATTCTGATAACACTATTGTTCTTAACTCATAAGTTTTAATAAAAAAAAAATCAAATTAGCGGTTAGGAACTAAATTGCATTTATACCCAATTAAAATATCACATTTCAATTTACAAGTTTAGATATATACTATAAATGATGCACAAATCAAAGATACAAAATAAAGTATAAAATGTAATGTCTGACTGATTGATAAAAGATAAAATAAGGAACATTGAGCAGTAGAATGCTGATAAGTTGGTCGGATATTATGGTGACTAAAGAAGAATATTTGAAGGAAGAGCTAAATAAAAATGTATCAATAAAATATTGATGGATTTGGTGTGCACAAGACATGGTAGGTTGCTTGAATTAATTATGTAAAGGTGAGGAAGGTAAAATGTATAAGGGAATACCACAATTGGAATATATGAGACAAATAATGATTGACCAAGTATGTAGTTTGAACAAATTAATAAAAGGAAGGCAAATAACAAGGAAGTTTGAAGGATTGATGGAAACCAATTTTAGAATTGAACATATGGTTGAATGATTTTTTTTTGTTGGAAAGAGAATATATTTGTAATATTGAAGGCAATGTTGTTGTGGTTTGTGCATAGAGGAAATCATTCAATGAGAGTTAAATGAAAAAATACACTTATAATAAAAATAAAAATAATAAACTACTATATTATAATTGTATAATTTAGTTATCAATAATGAATCATTAGACCTATCAAAGTACTTTGAGTATCTTAATATTGTGTAATGGAATTAAATTAGACACAGCGTAATATAAATTGAATATAATAAATGTTAATAAAATACATATACATAAGTAATTAGCTACTTACAAAGTTCTCCAAGACATATCTAATCTTAAACAATAACTAGTCGAAAAATGTCTAATATTTCTAAACAGATTAATGCCCAACATTTTCAATATTTTAATTGATATTATTTCGTCGATTATGTAATGCAATATAACGTAATTTAGTATTTTAAAAGTACCAGAAATTTGCAAGTTCCTTCGGTGGTCCACAAGCCACTAAGGAAGAAATCAAGAAACTAAAGTCTAAATGAGCCACAAGTTATACGAATTATGAACAAAATATTAATGTTCATTAAAGCGAAGACTTTAAATGATGTTATCACTTATAACTTATCAGTAGATAACAACAAAAGACAATGTTATCGCCATGATTTAAGATAGAATCTTAAATCATGGTTATCGCTAACAGGTCACAGTGTAGCACTGAATGCAGTACTATTTAGTTCAATGTGTCCGGTAGCTACTATAAATTAACCTATAAATTAATAACTATCCCGTTGAATAAAGACAACCCTGCAATTTCCCCGCGCTAGCAACAAGCTGCTTCTTAACAGTGAGTTGTATTATACAGTAAACACTTTTCAGTTTTCACCACTTCTAATAAACTCGTTAAACGCTTAATCGGAATTTCTTGATATTAGGTAGTATCGGGTAGGTAATGGTAAATAGTTATTGGAAATCCCGTTGTTGATGTTCATTAATGACTGTACTACTGTAGTGATCACGGGCTGCTGTCACCTTTCAATTTTTATTGTTGATCAACGAATTGTTTTAATTCATTTGTTATTCATTGGAGTAAATATGGATACTCAAAAAACATTGGATAGTTTCATCAAAAGTAGAAAAAGGCCAACCAACGAAGATGGTTTGCATAAAAAGGAACTACTGAGCAATACTTTTGGAATAAATAAACCAACTAGAAAATTATCATTTGATTCTGCCGTGCAGCAAACTGTTAAAAAGCAAAAGGTTTGTTGACTATTTAGTAGGTACTTTACTATATTTGTATAAAAATTATACTGATATTATTAATATGTTTCTTTATTTTAATGGTAATTGACATTAATTATTAACATTATTGACACATAACATACAATCAACCAAATAAGTTCATAGTAAATGTATCATGTATACTTGATTAAATACACTGAAATTAATTATTTTCATGTTGAAAAATATTTCTCCATTTGTAGAATAACTTAGTTAAACACCGTGAATTAGTTAAGCTTAAGTAATACCTAAAACCTAACTTAGTGAATGACTATGTACAATGGACAAAGTAGTGACTATAAGATCCTGGGAATAAGATAAATATTTCAATTTGCCGCATTACACGCCGACAGTAATATTTCCCCCTAGTGGCATAATAATGAAATATAATTGTACCGGACAACTATGAATAACTATATACTCCATTCGGTATAATGTCCAACCAATTACTTTCATATCACCAAAAACGATAACTTCTATTACTTACGTGTTGAATATATATTAAAATGTATCCTAGGTATTATAAAATAATCTATACCTCAAAAACTAATTATGTATGTTTACCTACAACTAATTTACCTTTCTATAATAGATACTTATCCATAACAGATAATTGTCTGTTATGGGTAGGTGTCATTGTAATATAATATGATGATCAGACATTATCTAATTGTGTTATAATGCAATTTTTTTTTTACTACACAATTGATGATGAGATTTTACTATTCACTAATAGATCCTAAGACCACATACAAAATAATTGATACTAATCATTGTAATCCTAGAGACTTGGAATCATACTCTAAAAATAAATTTACATATTTATTTTCTCCAATTGTAATGTAAGATATTGGATGTATTTGTCATTTGATATAATATGGAGTATTATATTTTAATAAAAAAAAACCTATGTAGCTTAAGCAACTTAAGCCATCATAGTTTAAACTTGTATCCATTCCAAGATAAAACAAGTATCAAGTGTAGTCATTACTGAAAAGAGAAAAATGAACAATATGAAACCAATAACTTTTTTAACGTTTTTTAAGCTTAAATTCTAAAAGACATTGTACCTATCAAAATAGTTGTCTATGTTTTATACTTGTATCTCATGAAATATATTTATGATTTATTATTTTGTAGAATGTAGAATATGTATACCTATCATTATTATGTGTTATTTAAATTATCTTTAGGTTGATTCTGGTATACAACAAGCAACTGACCAAAATCTAAATGCTTCTGCCGTTAATAACAATACAGTCGCTGAAAACATTTTGGAGAAAAAAGAGACTGAAAATAAAAATGAAGACCGTTCAGAGAGAGCAACAACTCCAGATCAATCACCATCAACTAAGGCCAAATTACGTAAAGTATGTTAATAAATAGTTGTATTACCTGAGTATGATTAATAACTAGATAAGCAAGTAAATTCCCATCCATTTTATTTATTTTAAATTAACAATTATTTGAATAACTGGTGATAACTTAAAATAAAGTTTTCTTTTTTTTTTATGATACATATATGTGTAATGAAGATGCAAAGATAATTCCAGACAAGGGCGGTTCTAGGACTCAAATTTTGTACGGACATAAATATATATTTATTAATAAGTTATAGTCAATAGGCCATCCTAAACTCCCTAACACCAATTTTTGTTTTTGTCTTACAGTTCAAATGTAAAAAAAAATAATAGATTTTCCTTATTCTTTTAAACAAAATAAAATGTGTTTTATGTTGAATATATTATAATTTATCATTAATTAATTTTTTTAGAATTTAATTATTACTTAAAAAAAATAGGTATATTTGTAATTAGCGTCAAAGTTACTTTATATACGTGATGGGTTTAAAAAACAAAATTATTTTAACAAGTTGAAAAATTAATGAACTATTTTCATTTTTTTGACTATTAATAAATTCTTTACTTTACTTATCAAAACTACACAATATTGAATTTTTTACAAAGTGAACATCAAACAATTTGGTACGGGTAGCTGCCCACCCCGACTCCGCCTGTACACTAGAACCGCCACTGATGCTAAATAAAAGCAAATAAAAATAATAAATGTTTTTTATCCAAACAATTTTATTTTTAATTTTAACTATTTAATTGATTTAGGAATTGGATTTGGGCGAATTTCGTAAAATTGTTCGTCGTAAACACAACCTTAAGAAATTACAAGAAAAGATAAACTCAGTAGAACAATCACAAATTGATCTTAACTCTGCAAAGTCTAAAGTAGATGCTGCCAAAAGCCATTATTTATCTTCGTTTAAATCAGTTGATCTCTTGGTTGATACTAGTCCAGTAAAAGTTGGATCAAGTCCAATAAAACGATCTCAACTTAAACCTACAGCCTTATTCCTCACTCCATCCCAATCAATGGTTAGTCCAAGGAAAGTAATGATGACCGCTCAGATGACACAAGCCAAGGAATATGTTTCACCTAGAAAGTTATTAGATGAAGTAGGATCTCTTTTGGCTATGTCGCCGTCAAAAAGATATGCTGCATTGGTTGATTCTAAAGCATTACCTTTGCCTTTGAAGTACCGTATTTTGGATGAATTGTTCAAAGCTTTGGAAACTGTTTCATCTATGATGTTTAGTAGAAAAGAAAAAATAACTTTTAATAAACTCAAACGTGGTGTTCAGCAAATGACTAGAAAGTAATTTAAATATTAAAATTTATTTTAATTAATTTTGTTATAAATAACTTATAATTGTTCAACATTTAATTATTTTTTTTAGAAATTTTACTGAGTTACATTTGGCACAAATTAAAACTGTTGTACCAGATTTCTTTAAGTTTGCATTAGTAAAATCACCAAAAGAGAAATCTAGTTTTGAATTAGTGATAACTCCAAATTATGGTAAATATTTGACTGTAATAATTAATTTTATATTAAGATTATTAAATTTTGATATTTAATAGGCTCGGTGAACGAAGATAACATAAACTTAATTGAACTAACAACTCAGAGGAAAAGGGCATTTTCTAATGCACTACTTGACATTGCAAAGGAGCACCATGAAGTATAATATACATAATTTATAATAATAATTGTGGTAATAATATAGTTTAATTAAAATAACTATTTTTTTCTTGTTTTTAGAAATATTTGAGTAAACTGATTCCACCTATTGTGATTGACAAAAATAAAATAACCAGATGGCATCCTGAATTTGATGTTGAAACTGTGGAAGATATCATTCCTTCAACATTACCCAAAATTGAAATTAACAAACCAAAAATAGTTACAGCAAAAGATTTATTGGGTATTTAACATTTAGCTTAACAAAATTATTTAAATTATGTAAATTAACTATAAGGAATTGGTAATGGTAATTTGTTTTTAGACAAATCTCATGCATTGTTTGTTTACAATAATCGTTTAAATCGGACTCTTACAACAATGAACAATGAAAATAAAAATTTAACTGAAAAAAAATTTCCTACAACAGATGCAAAAAATGCTTTAGAAGGAGCACTTAAAGGGATTCCTAAATCATTTCTGTTAAAGGTATTTTTTCAATATTATTAGTTTTTACATGTTACTCAAATATTTATGTCAAGATTCAAGAAAAGCAAGCAGAAAAAGCTAAAGAATTGATGACACGGTCGGTGGGTCAATTAGATGAAGATAGAATGATGAATAGACTACCAGATATTGCAAGAAGGATGCGTACCTATTTTGTACAACTTCAAAGAAATGTTATGCCATTCAAAAAAGTCATCGGTCAATTGAAGCAGAGTTATCCAGAAGCCATGACAGACCGTAATTAAATATTCATTTTCCTTCTTTCCTTTATTTATTATATGTTTTGCCAATAGTAACTATTTTATTATCATTTTAGAGGAATGGAAAGCTCACATAAACCTTCTCCAAGAAAAAGTACCTCATTGGATTGTATTAAAAAGCTTAGAAGGAATTGAACACATTCGAATTGATAAAAAAGTTGAATTTGAAGAAACTGTAATTAAAACATTACAAAAATAATTTTGATTTAACAGACTTAAATTTGCTTTAGTTTATATTTATTTATAATATATACTTTTATTTACAGCCATTAATTTTTAAAAAAAAAACTTTAGATCATGTAACCACCTGTTTGCCAAATTTTTAAATACTTTTTTAAAACATTATTTGTATAAATAACTAAGAATTAATAGAAAAGTAATGTATTATACTTTTGAAATCATCTACTCGATATTATATTTTAGTAACAGTTTTATTTTGCTCCAAAATGTTTTAATTTGTTTATTATATTTATATTTGTATTTATATATTTATACATATGTCTTATGTATAAAAGTTACTATTCTACTTATCAAAATAATGTGACTTATCTATTTGAAGTAAATATATAAATATTTTATGGGTCATTTACTTAATAATCTACATATTTTAAAGCATTAAAATTTAAAACCAACCAGTTATTGAAGATTTTCAATTAAATTTAATAAAAACCAAGTAGACAGTGATTAGACATGATCAAAAAAAAAATTCAATATTTTAATTTATACAGATAATATTTAAATTTCTTTATTGTATAAATAACATTATTTATATTTTAACATGTTCAAAACTAAAAATAATTACAAATGTTCAAACCAATACAAAATATTATTATTATATTAATTTACTTTAAGAATCTTGTATTAAAATATTTAAGTCTTAAGTTCACAAATTACGAATTGTTTAACATTCAAATTACAACTATCTTGAAAAAAATATTTTATTTAATAAAATGACCTTTACAATTTTTATTTTGTTTGATGTACCTATAAAAGTTATTCTCGTTCAACTGTTTATAAAATAATTTTTCAAAACTGAATTAGTTTTTATATGAAAATTAATACAATATAGTTAATCCTTATACTATAATCTATTAATATGGATGAATTTGTTTTATTATTATTTAATATTTGCTATCAAGTATTGAAATTAATTTAACATGTATGTTGGTAATTAAACAAAGTGAACCACTAAATAATGAAAAAAAAATGCTTTATAAAATTATAGTGTTCACTTTATGAATGTGTGACATAGATATTTTTAAAATTGTATGGACATGACAAGTTATTATCTAAAGGAATAGACAATAATAACTTGATATAAAATTCTAACATTAGAAAACCCGAATGGTTTGTAATTCGTAACAGTGCATGTACTTGAGTTGAATTGCTAATTAATGATCGCTTGATCAGTATACACAGTTTAATCATTTTTTTTCAACAAAAACTATTTTGGTTTTAGATTCAAGTGGTGTAAGTACGTAAGGTCTAACTGTGTATCAGTAGATACATGAAATTTTCACCGAATGTTTATATTAGAATTAATGTATAAAATATAAATATAAACCAGTAGGTATACCACACAGTTTTCACAATATTTTTACTGTTTTTTTTATGAACTATTAATAACCAGAAGAAGATTTCAGTTTGTATTATCTAGTTTTTAAAAAATAAAATTTCCCTGGATGATTGATTTACCCGACTTAAAGATTAAATTATACCATTTCACTGTCCAGCAAGTTGTCCATATTATTCTATTGAAGATTGATAAATATTTGATCTTTAATTCCTGTCCATAGTTTGTTGGCTGGTATTATTATTTTTTACTTAACTCTATATAGGATGTAGATGATTTTTATTTATTACTTTTTGATTATTTTTTTCATCTATATTAAAACGAAAAAATGGAAATTTACTACTTGGACTACTTGGATAATGGATATTTCCATTATTCTTATAAATAATTATTTTGCATTCAAACCTAGTTTACTAACTATCAAGACTTATATTAATGTTAAAATGTTTGAACTAGAATTAAGTGATTTGGTTTAATTCTGTATAGTTATGATAAGAAACAACTTATCGAAGATTTGATTAATGATTTCTCAAATTTAACTTTTTCACAAACAAATGAACAAGATGACTTATGTTTCTTATGATCAAAAGATTCACTGAATTAGTTCATCAAAGTAAACATGTCCTATCTTGACTACTCAACATTGTATTCTTCAGTTCATACATCAATATAATACTATAAACCTTAACTAAAAAAATATATATAATTATATTTTCAATTTCATCCAAATAATTTTTTTTTTTAATAATTTATCTATTATTTATGTGTCTATATTGTGAAACTAATGTACCTACTACATTAAACATAAAATATACACAGATTTTAACAAGTAAAGGCAATTTTTAACTGTTAGGTATATGGCTTATAAATTTGAAAAAATTTACAACTGATATTAATTTATGTACGTTTTAGAAACTGCCTTTAAAACAAAAAATATTACGAATAATTGTTTTTGAACATATAATTAGGGCATTAAACCGTATTCAGCATTAATTGTTACATCTTAATATTATTGGAAATGCATATCACTTGGATCATGTGTTACTATATCGGCATGGTACGATGTGACATGTGACTTATTATTTAGGTACTTAATTTAACAACTTTTTTGGCATTAACTAATTCAAATTGGTCTAGTAAATTCATGACGTGTACCTAACTAACAAACCTAAAATGTTCATGATTTTTTTTTTAAAACATACTACCCTATTTTAAGAAATACCCATTACGACCTCTGCAAAGTATAAACTATACTTGTAGTATTTAATTTGTAGGGTAAGTTTTTAAAATATAAAACAATAAATATAGGTAGGTACGAGGGTAACGATACATTTCCCCCGTCACTTACATTTATGTGAGAGCCTTAATTAGGTACCTACACGGGTGTATACATATTATATTATTTATTACACTGTAGTGTAGTAGTATAATATAACCACACAATTTTGTAGCAAATACATCAGTGACTGCACACTATTATAGAATAATATTGTTCAATAACATATTAATGCCGAGCCCAGAAAGAATATTATAGGCACGATTAAAGAATCCATTTTTATATTACTTCTGTAAATTTCAAAGCCTCATTTTGAATTTTTTTCAAGTCTCGACACTTCTATAGTTTTATAGTTAAACCGTTAAGACTAAAAACAATATTGTTGGATACCGGACGTAAAAATTGACTCGCGACAGTAGTGTATCTAAAAATCTAAATGGCCTATACTTAGAGTGCCACGTCCTACATTGTATAGATTAAAACACTCCCAATAATATTCTGTTCCGGAATTTGAAATAAAAATGTATCGTGTAATCCAAAGAAGTCAAAAACTCGAAAACTGATGACAACATGTCAACATATTATATTATAATACCTATCATCTATGGCAAAAGTCGATCGTCGTCACTCACCGGAGCCGATTCGCAATTCTAATAATTTCATTGAACAAAAGAGAAAACTGTATGGCGACAATAAACATTCACTCGCATATTTCATTCTACTCAAGTAATTTTTATAAAAAATCTCGATTTGTTCAATTCGGATTTAGATGAAGAAAGAAGTTCCTCGATATGGCGTCTGCATTCAGGATATGGCGCCTTGCAGCTATATATTACCCGAAGAGTCGATGTATATGTAAGTTTGATTGCCTATTCTTTTGGGGCTTAAATATTTTACTTTTTAGTCTCAAAATTAAAATTTGATTTGGTACCCGGGTGAAGTAGGGGCATATTTTTTGTTCCCGAGCGCGCAACACAAAAAAATACGCTATCGCCTATCACAAATGACGACGGCATATCCAAGTCGCAGAATAATAACATATTTATAAAATTAAATAAATATAAATAGTGTTGTACATACTAGTCATACTAGTATACTACAGTAGTACAGTACATTTTCTTATGTCCCGCAAAATTCAACAATTTTTATTTTTAGTTTATATAAATGTTAAGTAATATATGAATATTACTATGCCGTCTGCTTGTGGTCGAACCGCGAATTAAAGTGACGCCGTCGTACATAAAACATCAAATTATTTTATAAAGCTGGGAAAGTCGCTCTGCTGATTATTGAATATCCATCGGAAATTAAATAAGGAAATTTTAAAATTTAAATATTCTCGAATAGCTTAAAATATACCCAACCAATGCATTCAAAATGAATACATAAAATATTTATTATTAATTTCGTGCTCGACAGTAGGTATTCAGAGAAAAGATCTAACTTGGAATTTTACAAATTATAGTTGGTTATAGTCGATATACGGTAAATGTAATGTATTAGGCACTGAATACCTTTATGTTAAATCTAAAAAGTAGTGATCACATTTATTTACAATAAGATTTTTATTTACTAACGCATAGAAAAAAATGCTTGTGCTTCCAATATTTAAACACCACCTTTCTCAATTATTAAATTAAAAATTAAAATAATAGGTATTTTATATATTGTTGTAATTTAAATTTTAAAATTATAAACTATTTTGGTTGTTGTTATATCTTATTTCATTATCTTAATGATCAAATCTCAAACACGGACCTCCTTGATATAAACATTTTTAAAATACCATATATCTATGGTTGTATCATATTGACGTAGTATAAATTATAATGCAATCCGTGGCGATTGTCGAAGTAGTTGCTAAGACGCAATCGATCTAAAATTTCAGTTACAAAAGCTGCAGACATGAACAAAAAACATGAAGCGATCCGTACGGTTTTTTTTTCATAATAAATCTCAATATTTTAAGACTACGTTCAGTCATATTTCTGATTTATTGTGCAGTGCACACACAATATCAGGAATTCCGCCGAAGCCCGAAAACGTCGATGTTTAAGGTAATTAATTTTGGTTTCATATTTTTTTGGTGGTTAAATTTACTTTTTATACTTCAAATAAAAATTTAATTTCATGAAAAATATGCTACCCCTATGTAGACACATATTTTATTTCTGAGAGTAAATGCATAAAATACGAGAGATCAAATAATATACAAACGCTGTTCGTCGTCGTCGTTTTTTCAGCTCTCTGATAGTAGGGTAATTTTATAATTATAACCTATTTTTAAGTACCTACTTGAAATAGACATTTATTATACGGTTTAATTTAGAAATACCCGTTATAAGTGATTACTCACAAGACACAA